ATGAGGATCAGGGAAACCCAGAGATAGAAAATCCTTTGGAGACATTTTTTTTACTTTCTACCTGGGGCCTTTTTTTCACAGAACATTTTGTCCGGGGACTGTAAGGACATCTTTTCCGGGGAATTTCTTCCTACACCCTATAACTGTATATGCCATGTACATAGGGACCTTTGTTACTGAGTTTCACATTTTTTAAAAATTTGTCGGCAGTATTTTTCAAGCTTGTACCGTATTGACTCGAGTAATAGCCACGCTGTTTATGAAGAAAACCTGAGGGTTTGCCTTTCTGCGGAGCACGCAGATTTCCAATCACCGTGATTGGCAGCATAATTCCAGCTGTTTACAGGACAGAAATAACGTCTTCGTGCAAAGATACCATCTGTGAAGATTGCATTTGTATGGAGAATCGTGTTCTCGATCTAGTTATTCGCTATGTTATTTATGCGCAACGCAATGATTGACTGTATATGTGTTCTGTGGGAAAGCAGATGCAAGGACCTTGTTCATAAATAGTGCAGCTATAACTCGAGTAAATACGAAGGGGAGAAATCGAGGCTTTCTATTCTGGATTCGGGATATAAATAAAAATCCTAATTGAAAATAAAAAGTACTGACTGGTTTTATCACATAGAATGTTTTATTAACAGAAACTAGTCATTAATGTGCAGATAATCGGATTAAAACATGGTATAAGAGCTCACTGAGTCATTTCCATTTTCAACAAATTTTTTTTAACACACATAATCATCTGCATGCACAGCATTTCAGTCCAGATAATAGACCTGTCCAGTCTTCAGACATATCTTAACTGAGAGAATCTTTTCTGAACATCAAAGCTTCCTTTTGAAACACGCAGCAACATCAGCATGGCATTTGGTAGTCTGGGGTAGCTCTCTTGTCAAAATTGCCCTTGCAAAATTTTTTTTTCCCCAGAAAGTATTACTTGAATAACTTTGCATTGCTTCTGTTATGGCCACTTTCAACAAGTTTTGTTAATGAGTTCCATATTTCTACAATGCCAGGAAATGTGAAAATGTTTTAAGTAAGCGGAAAAAAAGGGCTTTATTCGATTTTGAAAAAAAAACATCTCCGGGGTGTAAATATAGGGAAATATCGGGCTTTACTCGAAAACGAAAAGCCATTTACAAAGTGCTTGATTTGAATTAAAACAGATTTATTAAACAATGGCCGTAAAAGGTATCACAACGCAGTCTGTGCAGGTGAGTTATACAGTCAAACCCACTTATAACGAACGTGATAGTTCCGCGAAAAGTGGTCGTTTTATCAGTAGTTCGTTATATCTGGACTTCCCTTTAAAACATTATAAATAAGGAAAATGAAGCTGGTATAGGTAGTTTCACTCTGCCAGCTCTTTATTTAAAGAAACTTTGCACGATATTAACGGGCTCCCAATTCTATCGCGATTGCAGATTTAGCTTTCAGATAAATAAAAAGTAAATTGCTGCCGATTCTACTGCACAAGTAAAATAATGAACATTGACCACATACCTCATAGAACAGATTTTATGAAACGCACTACACCACAAAAAGAAATGCCGAGCACTAGCCCGACGATGGTTCTTCGCTGTCTACAGAGATAATTAATACTTGCTCTGGTCTTAAACGTTTTAAGTGCCGTGCTTCTTGCGCATGTACGAGAGTGCGCGGCCGTGGCCTCTGGCAGGGTCGTCTTTCAAACAACACTTTGCGAGCTCGTCGGGTGGCTGGGATTGCGAGCCACGCAGTGCTGCTCCGTTGTCATCTTTTTCCGCCAGCGTGATGCCCTTTCGTTTAAACAAAGCCTCTTGGTGGATTTTTTTTTTTCCATTTTAAAACGACAGACACGAGTCCGTAGACGCAAGAGAATGTGCATGATACCAAAATGGCGAACGTAAACAAACTGTAACAATGGCGATGGGGCTAGCCAACTTGCACCGAGCATTGAGCTCTTCTTGAGCTGCATACAGTTCGCGTAGAACGAACGCGAACAAACGAACGCAGCACGGCAGGAGAGTTGACCCTCGTCCTCTTCTCCTTCCTGCGCGCGCACAATGAGCAGACTATGCGACCCGAGAGGACGTTTTCGTTTTTGTAGTTTTGTTTTCTCCCCTGCCACGATGCTGTGAAAATGACCTCGAGCATCTCGCGGACCGCTGCGCCTGGCATCTCTTAATCTTCGTTTCTTTTTTTTTTTTTCTCTTTTTCTTTTTCTTCTTCTTTCCTTTTTTTTTATGTCGAAAGCAGACTTTATGTTCGTTGTAACAGTATGATGCTTTAAAAAACGGTCGTTTTATCTGGACCAATTTTAATGGGTAGGGCCTTGAACTCGTATATTTTCTGAAAGTTGGTCGTTATAACCGATAGGTCGTTATATGTGGGATCGTTATAAGTGGGTTTGACTGTACGGGCAACTGGGATGATGGAGCCCAGGTGGGCTCATCATCACGATAAGTGGAATCATTCAGTAAAATTTGTTAAGTAACTTTTTAATTTGTGAATATAAGCATATGGTTCCAACTAGAAACTTGCTGGGCATCATCCAACACACTAAATCAGCCAATTTTACAAATGTCCGAAGAATGTGGACGCTAACAGTTTCCACTCGTGCAACACGGGCAGTCAGAAAACACAGAAGGTAATCTTTTCATCTGCATTTTTGCATTCCTGGCCTGGTGCTTGCAGAACTTGCTTCCGCAGGTGTTGCTCCTCCGCAGTGCACCCGTGTTCGGTAAAAAGCACAATCAACGGGGCTACCCGCCACAATCAACATTTAGAAAATATCAATATCGCAGTTCATCATCAAGCGAATATCGAATAGTGTATTATTCGAAACTATTATACAAAATTTTGAGTATTTGCACAACACTAATGTTTAATTTGATGCATTTTGTTTCCCCCCGTGAGCTTGGAATTATCGAGCCAACTATAAACATTCTATATTTCAGTTGGTGGTGCTTCATCAAACTCATTACATCAGGCTTGTTTGTCTTACTTCTTTGTGTGCATCCCCAATCTGCTTAAGTCAATAGTCAATGTATACATTTTCTAATACTGTTGTTTGCAAACCAAGTATAGTTATGTAAACAAATTGATTACTAGAATCTAACCGATATGTTTTCGGCTGAAAGGTTTTTCTGGGTGTAACGCTCATGAATGTCAGTCCCAATGAACTTCCATAGAAATACGTCTATTAATATCCTGTTTCATCTGTTTGCCTTCCCGGCTGTTCCATTAATATACTGCCAGCCCACCAGTGTCACCCTTTTTCAATTGCATGCACTCTATCCTTCTTTCCTCTTTACCTCTCTGTGCCTGTTGTCCTGGTGGGCATGACCTTGGACTAGGCTTCCAAAGGTTTCAGGCTTCCCATTTATCTTACCAAACTCTTCGCCATCACTTCTGCTTGCTTCCCCTGGCTTTGCTACTTTCATTTCGTGCGGAGTTCACAGCTCATGCTCACTGGCAATCATAGCATCGCAGAAAAGGAAGCCTCTCACTTTTAAGGACAAGTTGTCGAATCTCGTTAATTCGAACTCAAGGGGGATCGAAAATTTGTTTGAATAAATTAAAGTTTGAAAAAACGGAAGTTTCCTCCCATAGAGATGCATAGAATGGGACCTGCATGTTAGTTTGAATTACCTGCAAGTGTGAATTAAGAGAGTTTGAATTAACAAGATTCGACTTTATTTTAAAGCATGTCTTGTTTGTTACCCTCGCTAAAACTCGTCCATAAAAACCGCACCGGCCACATTATTGTCTCAACTTCCAGATGATAACATCGCCATCAGCGCGATATTGCGAGCTATGAGCTAAAAAGTCACTAAGAGACACTTCATAAAACGTTTGAATGGCAGCTGCTGTGATAAGACAAAGCCAATCTTCGTGCCAGCACACGCATTAGCTTTCACCGCTTTGCACCGACATGCTAAAGAGCAGCGGCTGACATGAGGCTGCATCTGAGTTAGCTCAATGGGTTCAGAAATTCTGTTCACTCTAATAGGTCGACATGTTTTATTACAATTATATATGTCAACCTTTAATAGTAAAGTAGAGTGCCCCCCTAAAATCACGACCTATGTTAGAATAAACACGGTAGTTCACCATAGCTGTCAAAGTCCACATTAAATAAATTGTCTAAGAGTTGCTTCCTGTCTCAACTATAGCCTCCCTAAAAATGTGGTCAGCTGCTACTTTTTTCCAGATAATAAATTTTTTTACCGCGGTCCCCTGAAAGACGTATGAACAGGGCTCTACTTCACTAACATATTTTGCGATAGTGCTGACGTCTCCATATCAGTGGCTAGCAAGTTAATTCTCTATGCAATATTAGGATAACTAAAAAAAAGCCAAGATGCAAACAGCCTTTGAATACTACAGTTTCCACCCTTATGTAAACGTTTGCTGCTGTTCACCTACAACGTATGGCACATCTGAAATTGTGAACAGAGTGGGTCGAATCAAATTCAAATTTGTCCTATGCTTGTTCAAAAGTTCATCTGCATTAAGATGGCATCTAGTGTCTCTCTTATATATTTAGCCAGTGTAGTAGCACTGCTAACCTGGGAATGTGCGTCGACATGACCACATACATGCCGATACAATGCTAGTCCAACTCAAGACAAGCAGGAGTAGAGCTTGAACCCTGCTGTACATGCTCGGAAAGTTGTGATACACTAACACACTTGGCCAGCAATGACCCTGACACAAAGACAAGGTTTGCTATAATGTGTTCCTATGTACACTTTCCAGATCCACAACAACACACTTGTGTCCTGTTACTTTTCATCTTATTTTATGTGCCCTGTCTCGAATCTATTACTACTAATATTCGGGCCAGTTCCCTTTCAGATTTGGCTATTGCATTAAAAACAAACAGTTCTACTCCCATTACGGCCAGGTTGTGACTTTGGCCCTGCTTTGTCGCAGCTCCTGTCCCGTGGAGACTGGTGTCACAGGACACAACACTAATGCAATGTCTGGATTTTTAAACATCAGCTCACCTTTGTACAGGAATCCATAAATTCATCAATAGTGACAACACCATCCTTATTCAGGTCAAGTTTCTGAAAAGACAAAGAAAAGAAAAAGAAAAAAAGCACATGAGCAACGGATTAGAGCCAAGTTTTGTTTAGTCCTGGTTTTAGTGCAACATGAATATATTTGGCATTTTGATTTTACAGGGACTAGTACCATATTCCTATACTTCTATATTAGACATCTAGAAATATTAATTCCAAAAGTTATCTCTACAAGCATTAGGAAATGGCAAAACTTCATATAACTAAGTCTATTCATAGAGTTATGCATGGGACATTATAGTACAGGACATTAGTACCTCCCCATTATGTGTAGCAATGCTTGATTAGAGCAGTGTCTTTAATTCAATCTTGTGTGTGCTGAACACGGAAGGTACTGCAATTTAACATAAGACAGTGGATAGCAACCTAAGACCTGTGAGGTTAATTTCATTTAACTTACTTTACCTTAAAGACCCACTGAGGGCATTACATAAGGGAAGGTTCTTCATTACTATACAAGAAATACATTCACGACATAGAAACAAATTGTTAAAAAAAAAATTAAATTTTGATAACTTGAAAAATGTAGTAGTGCTCTACAGAAGTGAAAGCCAGCGGAGGTCTATGACGGAGACAGTGGAGGATGGGAGGCTGTTCCAGCCATAGATAGCTTGTGTAAGGAACAAAGAGCTAAAGCATTTGTAGAACCAGAAATATGTTTGATGGCACAGGCATTTTAAAGGTGAGAAGTTTGGTTGGGAGGTGATAATAAAGGGGTCATAAAGTTAGGAATTGTTATAGATTTCATGAAAAAAGAAGGAGCTCAGAGAGTTTTCTTCAAAACTACAAATGGGAGAGGGTTAGGCGACTTTTTAGAGCGGAGACACCAATAGAAAGAATGTATGTGTGTACTAAGGTGAAACGAGCAGTGTTGTAATGAATTTTTTTCAGATGATTGATGAGATAAGCTTAAAGGGAGCCCCAGATGGAGGCAGCATATTCTGATTCTAGCCTGATAAATATGTCACGTCATATGCCTGCTTGCAGACAGCGGGTGGAGCAGATCCCAAGCTTCCTAAGCTTCATCGGAGGATTCCTAGGATTCCAGGAGAGTCTGTAGCGATGGCTTCAATGCGCTAATTCTAGGAAAGGTCTCATCTTAGTCTTACACAAAGATATTTACACATACAAATGGTCTCAATAAAACCAAAATCTAAAAACTATTTGTAGGATAGATATTTTTCCTGAAGCGGATTAACAGCACCAACCACTATTTGTATCATTTGTTAATTTTGACTAAGCCATCTTGAAACTCGTTATCATGCATGCAAGCAACTTTGTTACAGACGACATGTCATCAGTGAAAAGGTGCATACTGTAAACAACGAAAACCTAATTTTCGCGTATTTCGCGAATCACCTACAATTCGCGAAAAATAGGTCCCTTAAACCATTCCGGTAAAATGTAAACACATTGAAATCTATGTTGAGATCCCACCACGTCCCGAAAAATAGAACCCGCGAATTATTCCAAAACTTCAGCTTTCACCTAAATTGCAAAATATTGAGCCCACGAAAAATAAGTTGTTTACAGTATATTGGAGGCAATGGTGGTGGGACGGTCATTCATAAATATTAAAAAAAGTAGAGCCCCAAACGAACCCCTAAAAGACACCAAATACCAAACAAACATAAAAAGTCTTTTTAGTACAATATTTATGCCATAGAGACATTTTAAGTTAGGAGCAATTCTGATATTTTGTTACGCCGATAAGGAATAGAAGCGTATTTCGGAATCACTCCTAGAGACACTGAACACCCCAAAACAATTTTGTAAGTAAAATGAAAAAAAAAAAAGAAACTTTAAGCACTTTTTAGTACAAATGCAATAAAAATATTTGTTAAAACCTTCAGGGTAGTCAACTTGGGAATGGGGTCACAATTATTGTGGCTTATATGAATGGCAAAGCTATTACTTTATGGTGATACCAAGTTCCAGAACTTGCTTGAGTTACTCCTCAAAATAGACAGTAAGTCATGAAAAAAAAATATTTTTAGACAGTTGAAGATTTTTGGTGTAGACTTTAAAGGCAGAATTATAAGCATGCAAAGCCTGGGAGATGTCAACCCATCTAGCCTTTGCAAAGAGTCCATTTTTGTCATCCTACATAAAGAGAGTGGAGTTTTAGTAAGCCAAGGATTACCGAACGAGTGCATACACAATCTGTAAGGACAAAGATTTCTGCCTGTTCAATTTAGTTTTAAATAACACCCAGATCTCCTCTACCAATCAAGATAAAAATTGACAATAGTAAAAAAAATGCACCCTCATGTTTACTGATCTACCTATAATCAGCCTTATTATAATCATGCACTGTCTTAGAAATAATGCTATGAGGAAGAGGAAGACGGGCTGTTGCAGGTGCCATGGCAGCGAAAGTGTTCACGAGCCTGCGGAGGCCAGTTCGAATTAAATCCAGCCAGAGTAGATGCCTAGCCCCTTACTATTCAATTATTGTAACAATAGGATGCTTCATGAGAACGAGGAGAAAAAGGTCAACATACATTGGCCTTGATTGCTTGGCCCATCACAGCACTGAATAGGTTTGACAAGGTCTGGTGACATAATTAGTGTTGAGTTGAGGGTATTACCTGAATGGACTGGTTTATCAATTAACTCTGTGAAGTTCCAAAGTAAGACACATCTCTAGAAATTGTGTAGGCATGGTGGAGCTTCCAGATGAAAGATTCAACCAGTCAATGAGAAGACAATTAAAATTGTCAAATAATAATGTTTCGACTTTTGAAAAACAACCTTTTAATCAACCATGACAGAGCATAGATTAGTAGGAAATAAAAAAAAACAACACATGCCTAGGATGGCCATACTTTTGATGATATAAAAAAATAAATGCAAGAAAATTCAAGGTTATGACTAGCTAAAGGAATATCAAAAGAAGAGATGTGATTTTTTTTTTATTGCAATGAAGCACACCACTGCTCCCTCGGCCAAACTGGTGATGACAAAATATGTTATAGTTTAAATGTCTCGGGAAAGGTATCATCAATATCAGGTTTCAACTTAGCTTTTGCAAGAATGACTACTGTAAAATACCGGGGTTAGCACCTACCCCACATTCACTGAAAACTGGGTCAATCTAGACATGGGCACTTGTCCGGGCAAATCGGGTGCGTAACACATAATTTGCAGAATTCCCACTTCGGGAAATGTTAATGGTGATAGCTTGAACAAAGTGGGTGCTACCGCGGTATTTTACGGTATGTCTGAAAAACTGTCCTGAAAAATGCTGTGAAGTTTGTCATGTCTCGGTATGAAGCTGCAAGTGTTAGTAAAGAGAACTGGAAAACTTTGGCGGTCACGTGGAGCGCCACAATCATTCACTCATTTGTGAGACTTCTTTCCAAAGCAGCATCTCTTAAATCAGTGTCCAAGAACAGACGCTACAAAAAAAAAAATTGTGGGCATCTCTATCGATATTTGAGCCTGGAAGCCAACACTTTGCCATATGAAACCAGGGTGGTTACTAAAAGCCAAAGCTACCAGAAGTTATGCGTGCGAAAACAAAATGAAAAGGTAAGTACCACCATTTTCGAACTTTGGCCAATTAATTGCGGGAAGTAATCTGTCACCTATAAAATAAAGAAAAAAAAAATTTTTTTTCTTGCATAAACTAGGTTTTATGAAAAAAAAAATTAACAGGTTCAAGTTTTGGGTACCCCTTAACTCTTACATTGTCTTTTAAGTAATGTGTGCAGCGACATAACGGGGGTGCCACGTGGTTTCCTGTTGCATTCCGTCTTCAGGGCCCCCAGTGCCCCCAGTGCTCTCTTTGCGACTGTCGAATTTTCAAGGTCCGGTTCGGCTACAATAGAGCACTGCACTCGCTTAGCATCACTGAAGGTTACGGTGAGCAATCGAGACAAAAGACAGTTTGCCACAGGGATGACGGGGAGGGTAGCAGCGGAGAGGAAATGGTTTTGTCGAGTTCGGGTGGATAGCATCACGAAACTATTACATGGCACTGTGGTTCCCATGACTGCCACATGCGGCTGCAGAATAGGAAATAAGGAGTTTTTTTCCTTTCGGATAACGCAACGGAATAGCAGTATTTCTAAGGAACGTGGCATGCTTTCTTCTTCCTTTCATTTGTGCAAAGATAAACACTTGTAGCACGAAAAAAAGATGCAGGCTAAGAAAATCTTTCCAAGAAGTGAGGGAAAACAAGAATAAAGTATATATATCTTTCTCATGACATGCTAGTTGTGAATGACAAAGCGTTTATCTGGGATGTTGATCAAAAGAAGGCTGCCCTTGTGGATGATTATCACCATGTAAGACCACAAGAATCATGTACATGTTTTCCCAGCGACGGTAATAGTTCAGCATTCCTCGATAGTCCTCCTTCTGTATTGTCACTGAATTGCCACAATCTTAAAAATAAAATAGACAACTTTTTTTTGCTTAGTGGAGACGATAAAGCCCCACATAGTCAAGGGCACGGAGTCGTGGCTCAATGACACTATACTTAAAAAAACAAGAGTATTCCCGGAAGAATTTTCTGCTTACCAGAAAGATCGCCATGTACGTGGCCGCGGCGCATTTTTATTAATAAATAAGGAATGGGCGAGGAGTGAGCTTATTGTAATACATAATAATACCGAATCCATTGACGTCACGTAACCTCAACACCAATTTAATTTCCCGCTAAGCGGGGCAATTACACCAACGGCAACGGCGACACTGCGAAACTCAGAAACGAGTGCTTAAGAGCTGCGCTCTGAAAAATTCTGAGGCCACCTAAACACTTCTTATGAATTGTGAGTGCGAGAGCATGAATGTCATTCTTCCGCTCCCTTAGTTCGTCTGCGGTGTACTGGCGTGGACGGTCGCATTTCGCTACTGCCGAGGTTGCGGCCGCCAATGACACAGATGCCTCAGGTGGCGCCATGCTTCTCAGCACCAAGAGAAGCAGAAACAGCCGCCCCCCCTCCTCCTCCTCCAGCAACGCCCAACACGAGAGCGGC